CTCAACATAAACACGTAGTTTAAATTATCTCTTCAAAATAAAGTACTTGATTGAATTAAAACAAATCCAAAACAATCAACTCAAGCAACGATAACGAAATGACTCATTCCCATTATTACATATCAGAGCGGCCAAAAACTAAATAACGGGAAAATGATAAACAAACAAAGAAATGCCTCAATGCCATCTTCCAACTCACATCATTTATTTCTCTATCTGAGTACCAGTACCACAAAGTACAAAACACCACAAACAAACAAAATAGGGTGAGAATGCTCTCAAATATATTAGCAATGCAAAACATAACATGGGTAGCATCAAATAACACGACCATCAAGCACACAATTCATTTGCAACAACAACAACCAACTCCCAATGCCTTTATGTATGCAATCTAACTCACAACTAGACTCAATGCATGTGGTATCAATTTGGACATCGAAGGATTTTACGGATCTCGTCCACTCAACAATAGTTCATCTTCGAATCGAGTACCACTTCTGAACCCCACTCGTCACTGATCCCCACTTTTGAAACAGCTATTTGTCCCTGATCCCCACTTCTGAGTCAACAACTTATCTCAGGACCGAAGTCCACACATCAATCACCGACACATATGATGCATGACATATAAAATAATGCAACAACACTTATGGTTCCACTTCTCACCATACACAACAACATATAAGGTAATCAAAGTAGTTCTCACTCCGAACTACATATCCCAACATCAACGACATATAATTATAACTCATCATAAAATTATGCACGCATTTTACAACATGTGTTCACACATTAATGTTTATACAACACTTAAGCATATTAATTCGTCTCATTAATCACGACCAAATAGGAATCAACAATCGCTGGAAATCGGAGACAGGCTAAAAATTCGAGTAAAAAATGACAAATATGCACTGTCATGCTCGCTAAGCGAGGTCTAGTTTGCTAAGTGATAACCAAAAACCAAAAAAAATCACATTTTTCCCATGATCTCTAAGAGAGACCCTTCCTCACTAAGCGACGCTCATCCCCGTTAAGTGAAGTCTTCTAGAACTGCAAAAATCATAAACACAATTCCACCATGGGAGCCCTATCAAAGCTTCGGTTCTGACCCCTAATCACCCAAATCAAGCATAAAACAACAAATACAAATTATACTATAATTAAGACATCATATTTGCACTAATTAACATCAAAATTCATCAATTAATCTTGATTCCAAGGTTATAATCATAAAACCAAAGCACATCAATGGCAACAACAACATTCAGATTCATATTAATACATCATGTATAATTTTCAGAGTAATTTAGACCAAAATTTTCATGTTAAAAACATCAATCACAACCATTTATCGTTGATTTTTTTTAAGGGTACATAAACATCAACCATGGTAAAAAGATGAAAAACCTAGTGAATGGTGGGGATCTCTCTCTATCCTTCATGCATTTGACACCAATATTAGAGTGACTCCACCCCCTACCTTAATTTGTAGTAGCAATTCCTAAGCTTTGGTTATGGTTTCTTCTTCTTAGAGCTCTCCTTAAGATTTTTAGCCTTTTGCCTATTTTCTATTTTGTTCCACTTTCACATACAGTAGAAATATCACTCTCCAAACTTTTTCTATTTATTTAAACCTAAATATTATATTTAAGTTCATTTTCACACTTTCACCTCTCAACTTTTGGGAACTCGCTCCTTGCCACTCGAACTTTACTAAAATTGTAATTTTTACCATAATCACACTATTTCTCTTATTTAACTATTTTAATTAAATTAAATTATACTAACTCCCATATAAAACACAAAAAAATACCACATAATTCACACAAATCAGATAAAGCAATTTAATCACATAAATAATTAATAAAAAGTAATACAAATTCAATTAAAGAAATTAATCGAATCAGGGGTGTTACACATGGCTCTCCTATTTTAATGTCTTCATGATCATGTCATCAATGTAAACCTCTAGTTTGTGTCTAATTTCCTTTGGGAACACCATGTCCATGAGCTTTTGATAGGTCGCACCAGTGTTCTTAAGCCTAAAAGACATGATGTTGTAGTACTAATTTCCATGGTAGGACATAAACGCCATTTTGGGTGCATCTATGGGATCCATCTTAATCTGGTTGTTCTCTGAATAGGCGTCCATGAAACTCAAATATCTATTAATCAAGCGATCTTTAATGGGAGATGATACAGATCTTTCGAACATGGACATTGAGGTTGGTGAAATTGACACACAAATGTCATTTGTTCGATGCCTTTCTCACCAAAATCAAGTTATCCAACCATGAAGGGTATTTGATCTTGTCAGCTTCTAAACTTTCTCGTCAATGGCAGTTCTCTTCTTCTCGCCAACCTTTCACTTTATTTGAGATACTGACTTAATTGAGGGATATATGGCGAGGCCATGACACACCACTTTGGTATCCATGCTAATCATATTCAATGACTCCTAAGGCGAATAAGTCAATGTTCTTCCTGAGAAGGGTGATCAAATTTTATTCTTTAAATTTGGACAATGAGGTGCCAAACTTAGTGACATGTCGATGCAAAGACCTTATCTAGAGTTTTTTTTTCAAATTTTCGACTAGGGGTAAGCTATTTACTTTCTATCCCTAACCTTTGGTCCTGGCTTGTTGTATTTGTGTCGTCCATTTTAAGAAGGGGGGGTGGCAACCAGGGTGAGGGGTTCCCCTGTTACTTCCAAGCTACTTAGGTAACATTCATGGGCGATCACTGGATCCCCTATGACCGTACCCACATGCTCGTTAGCTAGTGGATATTTTAGGCTTAAGTGAATGGTGGATAAGATCGCCCCCACTAGGTTGAGAGCATGCCTTCCTATGATGATGTTGTAAGGGGTGTGGCGTTTACTTTAAGATAGTTCACTTTGATGGTTCTGTAAATCACCCCTGAGCCAAATATTTTTTTGAGGGAAGTGTAGCCCTTGACTTGTACATGTTCGCTTGATAGGCCAACTAAAGACCCTTGGAAAGATCCAATGTTGTTGGGATCAAGATGGAACCCCTAGAAAGTGCTCCAGAGCATGATGTTGTTGAGCTACCAAGGTTGATTAATACTCGTTTCACATCCGAGTTGGTATACTAAATCGTGATGACTAAGGAATCATTATTATGGGGGAGTACGTTGACTACTTCTTCTCTCGAAAAGGAGATTATGGGCTCTCAGTACCTACTGAAGTCACTGAGAACTTTTATTGGTGTCATGATTGCTGTTAACACTTTTCAAGTATACCTTTTCCAGGAGGAGCTAGATTCTTCCCTGGTGAAATCCCTAACGATGATATTGGTGGTCTTCTCAGAAGTTTGCTCGAACATCTTTGTGAAAAGATGGTGAAAGCAAATGTGAGTGAATGATACGTGTGTCTCTGGTTAGTTTTACTGGGACCCTACGGTGGACGCCGATTGTACTCGCTAAAAGTACAAATGCATGACAACTCTTAGTGATTAAGGGTTGTCAGAGACTTTAGAGTTGTCACAGTATTAAAAGATAGTTCACATGGGGTGAAAAACTCTTGTATATGTATAATTATGTCTTGTCCTCAAGTATTATGATAATGATGTATTTATAGTCCTGAGGGCTCAAACCTACCTAGAATGTAGCAACCCCTCCGAAAATGGGTGATTGATTCCTTGAAACTTAGGAAGTATGGTTAAATCTCATGATTTTCTATGTAACATTTATTGACCTAATACACGATTGTGTCATGGACTGAGTAGATGTCTCAGCGACATATCTATAACAAACGGGCGCCGTATCCAAAAGGAGACCCTCGAACCAGAAAAAGCAACTTGATAAGGATAATGGACTAAGCATATACCTTTTGCCCCATCCCAATATCTCTTCCAATTATATCACTACACAACTCATCTCTCTCTAACGACCGCACATTACATTCTTTACAAAATTTATATCAAATAAAAAAATTCAACATAAATTTTTCTAATAAAACATTATACGAACAAAATAAATTATTCCCTCAAACTGACTACTATTAATGGTAAAGACTGCAAAAATAAAGTGAATAAAAATAAAATTGTGCAGAAGAAATATAATACAAAAATTCTATTTTTACATAATGTTTTTTAAAGTTAAATGAAAATAAATTTTTTATATATTACACAAAAAGTAAAAGAAAGTAAGAGATTAAAAAAGCAGTTCTATTAATAAAGGTGTGTGGAGATTTTAAAATTAGAAAGTAAAAATATAAAGAAAAGTTTAGAAAAGACTAATTGAGTTTAGAAAAGGTGAGTGAATATTGATTTATTATGGGGAGGGTGGAGTGTCATAAAGTATTTCAAGTTGCATGAGCTGAATATAATGTTCTTTTGCATAACAAAGCAAACTTTGAGTATGCATGAGGTTTAGCATCCTATATTCCTATACCAAAACCTCAATAAGCACAAGTTATTCATAAAGTTTACTTTACCCTAATAGTTTTATATGTCCTTAATCATGTTTTAGAACATTTCTTTAAAACATCAAATAATTCACTTAATCAACATTTGAGTTAAAAAATTTAAAAACTAAACATGGTAAAAAGCTACATAAACACTTCTTAAAAGTTGACTTTACTATTCCCAAGCTAGATCCCAAAATACATGAGTATACTTTAATTTACTAATCACCTAAAATAACCAGTAAAAAACAGCATCAGTACAGAATTAATTAACTAATATACAGTCAAATATTTGACATATACAATATAATAAGTTAAAAATAATACAATACAAAAAGCAAAGAAAGCACTATTAATTTGTAATGTACAACGACGACAACAACAACATTTGCAATACACCACTAACCCACTTTCGGCTTCAAGACTAAGCTAGTGCCCATGTGTTAGTTAGTGTGTCTGCCATCACTAACAGAATAATTAACATTAATTACGACTCTAAGAGTCTTCAAATCTCTTATTATTTTTAAATTACAAATTAGTAACACTAAAACGCGCGTCCACCCCAAATCTACCTGGGTCTACCCGCATTAGATCCAGCATTAGGATAACCGGTCCCACCAGGCACTTGATGGTAACCACCACCGTACACGTGTCCCTGATGCTGCTGATTCTGATGCTGATGATGCATGATCATTCCTACCTGAGGAGCACCGTATTCGAAAACCGAAGACGAAGAAGAAGAAGGAGCAACGTCTTTGTCACGTGCCGCAACCGTTTTCTCACCTTCGATCTCTCTGAATCGTTGAAGATAAATCTTCAGAGGCTCAACGTACTCTTCAAATCCTAACGTAGTCATCGCCCAGAGTAGATCGTCTCCGTTGATCGTCTTTCGTTTCTCTCTCTGACACTTATCCGAGGCTTCGCCGGTGATGAAGCTTATGAACTCGGAGACGCATTCTTGAACGGTTTCTTTCGCGTCTTTCGAGATCTTCGCGTTTGCAGGTAACGCTTTCTTCATGATCCTACTCACGTTCGCTATCGGTAGGAATCGGTCTTGTTCACGAGGTGATAGCTCGCTGTTACCGGCGTTTGGGGCTCCTCCTGACTCGTTGTCTGAATCAGCCATCAACTTGCTCTCATTGACGGCGGCCGGAGAAGTGTGGTGGCGGCTCCGGTAGGGAGTTGAGAGTGGAGGGAAATGGAATGAGCATGATATCCGTTGGATTGGTGGGTTAATAAGGGTTTATCTGGTGGACACGTGGAAGATTGTAGGCCGTTGTTAGTAGATAAGTGTTTCTTTTGTGGAGGGGTTTTGAGCCGTTGGATTGGATGAGGGAGTGATGATCTGGATCGTTGTTTCGGTATCTGTGTCTGACTTGGACTCTAATCGTCATCTTTTGTTTCTATTAGGAGTAATATTAAGAATGTTCACTAGTACTCTACTTGAGATTCTTACTATTTCTTTGTTAACCTCGATTTTGTTAAGAATCTTAACTCGTAGCATGTGCATCGTTTACATTAAACTATGAATCTTAATGCTAGTTTTTATTTTTATTCTTTTAAGTTTAAGGATTACATGTGTCGGTGTTGGGAGTGGCATTCTCATGTATGGGGTCCATTGATAGCAATTTGCAATGTTGTGGCCTTTTAATTAAGGTCACTTGTCCACTATCATATGTGTGAATTATTAATTAGCAGGGCAAAAGACGTGGAAGGAATAGTTTATATATGGAACTTATCTTCCTACTCAAGCAACTAGTGACATATTGAAGGTATTGTTCCAAAAGTTACTATTCTCTTCATCTTAAATTTTACTAGTAGTGTTAAAATTTCACTATTTACCTAAATTAAAAATTAATTAATTTTGTATATGGAAATTCAAAATAATAATAAATTAAAAAAAATATTGATATTTTATTTAAATGGTAGAGTGATTAATGTTTATGAATGAGATTATCTATAACAATATATAAAGGCAATAAACATTTTTGGCGTAGCTTTTTTATTTCCAATTTTGTCGCTAATAAATTGATTTTATTACATTCTTTTATTAGTTAGTTATTATTCTTCATCTTTCATAACTTCTAAGCGGTTTCTAAACCAATCCATCTTCTCTCTCCATTTTATATTCTTCCCATTAGATATATTGAGAGAGAGAGAGAGAGAGAGAGAGAAATGTTGGAGACGCAAATTAAAGATATGGAAGAAAGAAAACAAAGATGAAAATGAAAGAGAAAGATAATAATGGTAATTGCTATCTTTTCTGTAGTATTTCTCTAAATTAACTTTGATTTTTCTGTTATGTTCTTTTGACAACTCTTATTAAGTTTTTGTTTTTAATTAGTTTAAAGACAGTGAAGTAGAAAAAAGTTGTTGTTAACATAAACATAGAGATTTGTTTTATGGAGAAGAGGTTATTTTTCCAATTTTCATACTATCTTTTTTTAATTTTAATATTCTCACTAACTTTTAAAGTTTAACTATTTTGATCGATTTCTTTACCTATTTTCAATTTTATTCATTTCATTCTATTGTTTGATTAATAGATGAATATTATTGAAAATTATTTAGTATCATCGGAAATGCATAAGAAATAAAGAAGTCAAATTTCTTTGTGTTCTTATTATTTTTAATGTGTAATTAAGTCTTAATGATAAATTCATATTTTTGGTGTAGTTTCTTTGAGTATCAACAATATAATGCCGTTTTTTTATTCACGTATCATTCCTTTTGTTTTAAGTATTCTACCATTTCCTTTTTTTTATCACATACTACCTGCATTTTTATCTTCAATATTTTTAATTTTTCTTCTTCAAAATTTAAAGATTTTTATGATTCTTAAATTTCTTTTTAGTTTTTAATGGATAAATCAAGCAAGATAGAAGAATGTGCAAGACAATGGGAAGAACACATAGGCATAATCTTTCAAAATGTAACAGATATAAATCATTCACTTATAATTATTTCTATAGGTTTGATTAGTTATTAAAAGTTATTCATTTTAATTATATTACTTTGTAGTTTTTTGTATTTTTGAACCAACTCTATGTAAAATTATTATTAAATTTGTTAATTATTATATAAATTTTATTTATTATATCACAATTCTAATAAATTTATTAATATCTGCGAACACTCAACCGAAGTAGATACGTAATACTGAAAAATGTCTTATGTATTTGGTTTTGCAATGTTGATTGATTATCTCTCTTCTTTTCTCTCTTAAATTCTTCGTTTAAAACTAAAGAAAAAACTCATCTCTCTCATTTTTATTTTTATTTTTTTTAATATTTATGTTATGTTTTTAAAGAAAATTGAAGAAACTATTAATTTTAAAAGAGGAAGAATGCTACATATATGCGGCAAAATTTGAAGGGATTTCAAATGATCTTTTTTACACAAATATATATTTTCCATGGAACTATTGAAATGAGTGTACAAAAGATACTTCTATGGAATTGTACATATATTCTAATTTATTCACATTTCTTAAAAAAAAATTATTATATATTTTTCTCTTTATACGTTGTCTATTTTACTTAGTTTTTGAAGAATAATTTATATGTTTTTTTTGTCTAACAAGAACATGAAACTTTTAATCTCTCAAAGTTTTATTTATTTCACTTTATGTGAGATTAATTTATTTGTGGGTTTTATTTGTATTTATCTCCCTAACTTTTATTTATGATTTCTTTTTATTCTCATAAAAAAATTTTCTTTTTATAATATTTATTATAGTTTCTCTAAACTCTACTTAATATATTCTATAACTATTATTTATTCTATAACTATTATCTATTCTATAACTATAGATAAAGATAAAGAAGATAGATGATTTTGGACAGACCTATTTCATTCCTATTTTATCCTTTAAGTTGTACGCAATTTATTTAATTTTTAAAAATAAAGTGCTAACAAAATGATACGGTTTTTTTATAAGATGAGCATAACTATCAAAGTTGGTTTTTTTAATGGAAAAAAAAACCAACTTTGATAGTTATGCATCTCTTACAAAAATGATGGAAGTGCAAAACACACTTATAAATGAATAGAAAATGGAAATTTATTCATTCAGTGGCAACATAAAAAAAAAATTACATCATCATACTCCACTATTTATGGTTTGTGAAAGATAAATAGAGAAAAAAAATTCTTTATCTTCCCCTCTTATTTGATCACCAGTCTCTAATTCCTTCTCTAATTCTTTATCATACTTCATTGTTAATTAATATGAAGTTTCTTTTCCTTTACAACGTTATGATTATTTCTTTAAGAGATAATTTGCCTTTATTTTAGAATCTATTTTGTTGATTTTGCATTTGGTTGTTGCAACTAAATATCAAATTATATTGATTTGGTTGGAGAATATTATTAAAAACAATGAAACATTATTTTTAAGTGTCTTTCTTTTTAAACCCATTGGTCTTAAAGATAAGAAATATATGAATTGGTTCATCTGTATTTAATATAATACTAACAATATAATAGAAAACAAACAATAAATATGAAAGATTACACACACCTCCAAGATAATGCAGGGAAATGAGAATCAAATGTTAAACATTTCTTAAAGTATTGCTTAAATAAATGAAAGAGTTTTGTTGCAACAATCTTTGTAAGCATTTCATTGATCATATACTTAATAAAAAATTAAATTAATAAACATATATATATATATATATATATATATATATATATATATATATATATATATATATATATATATATATATATATATATATATATATATATATATATATATATATATATATATATATATATATATATGATAAATAATTTAAATTAAAACCAAAATCAAATTAAAAATATATTAATAAATTACTTCATTTGTTTTGATTTCATGGTTGACCTTCCTATTAAGCAATAATGTAACTTAATATCCGTATTAATGTTTATATTTAGTTGCTTAATAAATTGTGAGAAAGATTTTTGTTCTTCTTCTATCTAAATCTTCTTATGATTTTGACTATTCTATAGCAATGTATAAATACAAAACTTAATGTTTCATCATATAAATAATTTATATTAAAATCAATATAAATAGTTTATAGTAAAATTAAATTTATAAAAAAATACACTGCTAATATTTTTGCGCGTTAGCGCAATAAAAAAAGCGGACAAACGGGCACGGACGTGCCCGTTTGGACGCTAGTAACTAAGAATGAGATTGTAACTAAGAACGTGAGGAAGAAATTATTGAATAAATATCACGAAATTAAATTTTCAATGAGTTTTGTTTTAATCATTTTTTTGGATAAAATGATAAACACACTATAAATTCAAATATAAGACATTCATTGTTCAAGTACAAAACGTCTCATAAAATATTTATTTTGATGTTGAACAAAAAATTGACGATGTGCTGATGAAGTCTATTGTGGAATCTCTCTGGTACAATGTTGAGAGTGTATGATAGATGGAAAGCAGGTATGCTTGCAAGGCTAACACTCCAATGCCAAAGTCAGTGAAGTCAAAGAGGTGTAACTTGTAATAAAGTGAATCATATGTTGATGTGACGCAAAATCACACTTGTATATGGGTGATGGTTAAAACTTCCCGATATGAGTGTGGTGTCGAATTAAGGAGATTGTTGGATCAACTCCAATGTCTGAGATGCTTGGCTCTAGTGTGTGTTTCCTTAGAGAGAGACTTCCTGTTTGTCAATCTTAAGCAGATAGGGCTTTGGATTGGGCCTTTGAATTAGGCCGGTCTTTTTGGACTATCGGGCTAACCCGAAATAATTTACATCGAAGCCCTTAGTACCAAATACATGGCTAGGATTGTTATAGGTTTGTCGGGACCGACCTCAAGAATATTTTGCTTTGACTTTTCGTGATCGTTATTCTTTCCCCAGGTCTTAGAAAGACACTCATTAAATGTATTTCTTGTTACTAAAACATTTCACTATAGAAATCATCCACGTGGAACTGAGGCTCTAGGATAAGAGTAAAGTCTTTAGAGTATTGTTATGGGATCAAGGTGAGAAATGGAGGACTGGTTGTGATCTCAGTGTCTCTTTGATTTTTAGCCGCATTTTGTTGGTTTATATGTTGTCTACATATATATCATAGGGGTGAAGTCATCTCTTCTTTTTATCTTCATGTA